ATTTGTTGACTTCCCAGGTATGCCTCCTATGCCTCCATTTTCCTATGCCGGGTAGTCTAATCTTCATGCCTCTGTCGCCAGAGGCACGTAGTCTAGACGTACCCTAAGTGTGGATGTACTGAGCCAAATGTTTAGTGTAGATGTAGATTTTTAAATGAATGTGCAAAAATCAGTAACTCTTAAAATTATGATAGTTACAAATACACACAAATTGTTCAGTGCAGAAGTAGAATGTAGATCCTATGTATAAAATATGAGTAAAACTCTAATACGCACGTCTAATAGCAAGTCTGTCCAGTGAGAATTTCAGATGGAGAATAGGTGTCACCATAATATCAAACATCTTTATGGGCCATGTGTTCAGGCAGATGTCATGAAAGCCAACTCACCATCCGACAATATTGACACTTTGCTAGCAACTACAGGCAGGATAGCAACGTGAACCTGAAAATACTGATATTAACCATATTGTTAGTCTTTGAAGTGCTACATTGTCCTGCATTTTGCTTCAGCTACCCCAGACTAACACAGCTACATTTCTATTGATATTAATCACTGCAGTTGCCATGGTAGTACTGTGATTTTCAGCCCCCTTGTTTAAAACAAATGACAACATGGGCGGTGATAGCTCCTTAGTTCAATTTTAACTTTTTCAGTATAAGGTAATTATACTCAATAGGAGTATAAAACTTATTTTGGAATTAGATTATCAAGAAAAGTGGGGAAAAAATAGAAACAATCCTTTTCCAGTATGTTCTTGGTACAAACTCCCAAAAGGGGTCCGCTTAAACTGAATGCTACGTCTAGCAAAAAAAAAATTACTTGCATGGGCTGGATCAGATATTTAAAGGTTCAATGTGTTAATTAAATTGAATATTTCAATAGTGAGGATACTGGGTTATCATTAGAACTGCAGTATTCTGTCTTCATTCCACTGTAATTTGATTTAAAAAATTCCCTGGGTACTGAAATTGTTTGTTTAATCTTATGCCAAAGGTGTAGGGGATTTGTAAAATTTGATAAGTAGATATCATGGAAATAAGGAAATGAAGTAAAATGGTTGCCATTTGCCAATAATGGTAAAACACAAATACCACAGTTCTTTCATATTCTGGGCATGGGGGAAACTGATCTCTCGATTACAGTGTGTTTTACCTGTTGGCAAAAGTCAGTTTGTGATGGTGGACACTGTAGTGCACATTCTCTCACACACATATGACCAATTGCTTCTAGCTGCTTAAAGGAGTTTGTTCTGAGAGTGTTCCAATTGAGTGGAAACAGCTTTCAGTTTGCTTTTGAAAGGGCTGTGTGAATCTCTTTAGACAAGCTGCTGGACACTGCCTCTCTTAATTGTCAATCTTAGTTTCAGTTCTCTTCCCTAACAGTACCTTTTGCAATTATTTGGGCTTTTCATAATCATGTTTACATGCAGATGAGTTTATCTGCAAGTTTATCTGCAATCACTAATCTATGGATTCATGAGAGGCTAATTTCAATTAAAAATCCCCCATTCAGAAAACCTCTTGTGTTATGGGGGATAGTAAAAGGGCCTTTATGAAACTGGTGAAACTTATTTTTCAACATACTTACGAGTTTAAATTTATTTTAGGGAAGGTTTAGCATTTCTACAGTGTTAAACTCTCCAAGTGAGCCATCTTTGATTTCATGTCAGTTGAACCCACCAAATACTACATTCTCTAAAGATAAAGTGGTGCTGTGAACGCATCCTAAATATATCATCGAAAGCTAGTGCTAGAATTCATCCTTAAATCAGTTAGTCATCCTGCCTACATTCTTTGCATACCCATGGAAGGGAGGCCCTTCTCTGCAAAATCAACATGAAAGGGAGCAGACTAAAAGCTTTAGAAAGTGCACCCAGCTTTTTGTTTTCTTTTGTAATCAATACAGTAGGTTCTGTTATCTCCAAGACAACCATGTCTAAAAGGCTGTCTTACTCTGTCATTCATTGCTGCACTGTAATAAGCTTGCTGGTAGGTCTGCTTCTGCAACCAACATCTAGTCAGGTTTTATCCAGAAGAGTTTTAGGATAGCCACATGAATGCATAGTATACCTATATACTCTTGCAAGAGCAGTGTTGCTTGGAATCAGGCTTAACACAAGACTTAAAATGTTTGGTTTATTGGTGTTAAAGAAATTACTTTTGGGTGCCCCAATTCTTCTGTCCAGGGGTGGCCCTAGACTAGCTGCCAGCAACTGGAGCCCTAGGCGAACCATGCAATTGGCACCCACATCTCCAAACCCCTCAGTGATATTGTGCCACCATTTGATGCCCCATTATTTTGCCCCTATTTTCCATTTAATGTTTTTTAAGCCTATTTATTTAAACAGGCATAATTATTCGGTTTGTCCATCCGTCCAACCACTGTTTCTGAGATCAGATTAAAATGGAGAAAGGAAATTTTCAGAATAGATTTGTACATGACAGCTAGACGATATTTCAGTACGATTTCAAATAAAAATGCATTACAAATGTTAATTATAATCAGGGCTTGACAAATAATGCAATCTACTCGCCTGTGGCGAGTAGATAGCAACCCGGAAAAGCCGGGTTCGGGTGATCTGCGCATGCGCAGAACGATCTGCGTATGCGAAGATCACCGGACAGCGCGGCTGGCGAGCCCTGATTATAATTGTTGTTGTTACAAATCCAAAATAGTCCATTACTCTATCCTGCTTTAACTGCCATTACCACCACATCGCTGGGGAGAAGGGGCTGGGGATGGACTTCTGTGGCTGGAGACAGGGAGGCTAGAGATGGAGTTCTGTGACTGGGGACTGGGGACAGGGGAGTGGGGAGAGGGAACAGGGTGCCAGTGGGGGGAGAGAGTCCCTTGAACCAGCCTCCTCCCTAGATTCCCCACCTCCCCTGAGGGAAGCCGGTGCACGCCTCTCCAGGGTCGACCCTCCCTCCCGTGGCACGGGAAACTCCTGCGCGCCGCCTCCCCTGGAGCTGACCCTCCCCCTCCCGCGGCACAGAGAACCCCCGTGCACTGCCTCCCCGTGGCCAACTCCCCGCACTCCTCCTCCGGGGTCGACTCACCCCTCCTGTGGCGCAGGGAAGCCGCTGCGCTCCTTGGAACAGGAAGGGGAAGTGGCAGGGAATTTGGCACCCCATTTAACTTGGTGCCCTAGGCGGCTGCTGAATATGCCTATAGGCACAGGCCGCCCCTGCTTCTGCCTCCTAATTTATTTTATGGCTGGATTATTTCAGCTGTTTGGTTTAGCAGTATCACATTGTGGCCGGTTTTGAATTTAAAATTAAGCATCCTACTGCCACTAAATGAAGAGACAAGATGGGTGAGGAAATATCTTTTATTGGAGCAACTTCTGTTGGCAGGAAACAAGTTTTTGAGCCTTACTCAAAGCTCTGCTTGAGATAGGAGGCACATTTTATCATTTATTCTTTTCAGTGTATAGCATGTCTTTGTATTTTTTTTTTATATCATGTTCCAAATTTAAACCTCGACTTCAAAACCATACACATACTTTTAGGGGTTTAAAATACATTTAACTTGTTAACCAACTAAACAGGAGTGTTTAACAGGTTAACTGATTAAAAGGGAGGCAGGCTGCAGGGGGAGAGGGGGACTCCAGCCCAGCTGGAGCAGCCCCTGCCTGCGGCATGCCAAGACCCACCATGGACAGAGGCGCTACGCCAGCCATGCTATAACACCCCTATCCGTGATGGGCCCCCTGGGGATGGAGCAGGCCCTGCCAGTGGCGGGGCAAGTTTCTGCTCCATCCCCCACCCCTTAACCTTTCACATCCCTACTTTGCATTCCATGCTCACCTGCCCTCAGAGCTTTACTGATGGGAAGTTGTTCCATTTTTTGCTCAAAAAGAGCTAACAGTTGGGAGCAATATTCCCTGTAATCTGTTCCATCCATGTTCGGATTTTTTTTTTTTTGCCCATGTGCAGAATAAAATATTTTTATGTGCACTAAGATGTGTGAATGTGCACCATCAATAGGAACAAAAAAATTAGCTGTGGGCACTTTGCTAATCAGCTGGGCAGCATTTGAATCTCTCCTAAGCAGCTGCACAAGTGCACAGCTTACAGGGAGCTTACAGGGAGCACTGGGGATGGAGGTGCTAAATAGTCCGGTGTTTGTGCTTCAGGAGCTGCACGCACTGTCCCTTGTGAAGTCAGTGGTTTGGAAACTTTTAAGTTCTGTAAATTTCACCCATTCTTGTACCAGGAGCCAGCCCTGAGAGTGGTGACTTGCCATAGTGATAGGAAACATCCGGTTAGATATAGACAAAAAACCCTCTGTTTAGCCATCAGTAGCAATGATATATTACCGTTTTAAGTATGTAAAAAACATTGGGTATATTCATAAGCGTTATTGGGAATGTTTAACAGAACATTGTATTTTGCTGAGATGGTATACACTGAAATAATTATAATGAGCAGCAGTTAATTCAATGTCTTTAGCCACAGGCTTTTTATGGCTATTGTTTCTGAGAAATTCATCAATGTTTGTGAAACAATCTTCATACACCTCTTAATTGAGATGGTATTATCTGTCTTGTGCTCTGAATGAGGCAGAGCTGATGTGGAAAACTACTGTGTGATCACATAATTAAAGATAAAAACAATGCAAATGTGAAAGGGGACTAGATTAAGGCTGCATGAGCAACCAATACATTTGGTATTTCCTAATCTTTGAATGTTCTGTCATTGGAGCTAATTGAGTAACTGGTTGTGATAGCAGGCTATTGTTCTCTGATGGCTATCTACAGGAGGGGATGAAGTAAAAACTGCACCATCAGGACTCAGACATCATGGGTTCTAAACCATGTTGTGGAGGGCAGCATTCTCAAGTATGTTAGACCAGAGGTGAAAGTAGTGGGATGCACCCCTCTGATGAGAGCCATCTCAGGGTGGGCTATTTAAAAAGCCGGCCCATCGGAGAGGACAGAATGGGCCCCACAGTCTGGCCCCCATCTGACGATGTCCCCACTCCTGTTGTGGCAGGAGTAGGAGGGGAGATGGAATCAGCTGACGCAATCCTGACTTGGCCCCTGTCCAGTCACGGCTGTCTGGCTGCAGCGGCCCCATCCTGGCCAGGTAAGTTAACCCTATGCCTCTCATGCAACCCAACCCTGACTCCTGCACCCCCAGTCTCCTACCTTGACTCCTGCTCCTCACCCCACACTCCCAGCCCTTTGCCCTACCTCCTGCACCTGCCTTCCACACCCAATCCCTTGCTCTGAACCCCTCATACACTCCCAACACTGACTCCTGCATCCCCCCATGTTCCCAGTCATCTGCTCTGCCTCCTGCACCTGCCACACTTCAGCCTCTTGCCTTGAGCCCCCATACACTCCAACTCTCATTCCTGCACTCCCCCATATCCCAACCCTCTTCCCTGTGCTCCCCATGCTCTCCCCCCCCCCCCCAATAGTATCTGTATTTATTGCAACAACACCCCTCCCAGAGGGGGCGAGTTGTGATAGGACAGTACCTGTAAGAAATGTAAGTTACTTTCACTCCTGGGTTAGACACTTTTGTTCCTGCCCCACTAGCCTGTGGTTTATTTTATATCTTGTAGCATGTCCCTTGAGTCTGTTCTCTTCTGTCTTGGCTGCGTTTTCCCGCTTTGCCGCTGTCCCATCCTCTGTTCTGTAAATTCCTCCTCTGCTTTAGTTCCTCATTATCCCTTCTTTGTACAGTCCTTCTTTCTTCCTCCCAAGGTCCTCACCTTTCTCCCTTCAAGTCAGGCTGTTTCCTCCTCCTCTTCCTTTCTGCCTGGATCCACAGAAAGGAGAATGGAGAGCACAGGACTGTTTCCCTTCTTTCAGTTCTGTGTGCAGCGCCATCTGCCAGGGTTATAGCACTAGGCTGAAGCATGCCCAGGGACCTCTGTGTGGGAGGAGCAATCTGTGTTTGGCATGGAACTCTGTAGAAGTGGAGCATTCCTACAGACTTTTGTTACCAGCCTCTACTGAGCCTGTGCAAGTGGCTATTTTCAGAGATCTAGGATTCAACTCAATTTCCTCAGGGAAGCTAAAGATACCCCTTCAGCCTTTAGGGTGAGATTATTCTGCTGCATTTCAAGTCCCTGCTCCTGGAGTCCAAGCAAAGTGGAGCCTTTTAGCTCATTAACTGTAAGAAATAGTTTAATACTTTTCCCCTAACCTAATTCTTAAATAAGGATAGCTGAACCATTTTGCAGAAACTTAAAATAAAAATGTAGTCCAGGGCAGATGCTCAGCATGGAAATTTTCAACCAGAATGGTTTAAATTTAGCAAAACATTTTATAAGCTATGAAAGAAGAAGAGTATTTTTAGGGGTAGGGAAATTTTAACTAAATGTAATGCTGTTGGATGTGCCTAACAGTACAGGTTGAACCTCCCAAATCTGGGACTCTCTGGATATTGCTAGACTAAAGAGCCCTGGACATGGGAGCAACTCAAGGGCTGGAGAGCCCTGGCTGGCACAGGTGGCATCTGAGGAGCCCTCCCCTCCCTGGCCGGGGAACACCCAGTATTAGTGGAGCAAGGTAGCTAGGGAGCCCCGTTCCTGGCTGGAGAACTCCCAGTGTCAGCTGGGCCACCCTGGAGCCCCCCAGTGGCAGCAGGAACCCCCCCCCCCAACTGAAGAGCTGGTGAAAGTGGGTGGCCGAAATCCCCAGCGGTAGCCAGCAGCCTTAGGAGTGGGACAGCCCTGGCTGGGGAACACTCTGTGGCAGCAGGGCCAGCAGTGGTGAAGGGTCGTGGCGGGAACCTCAGGAGACCCTGGGGGGAAGCAGGGTAGAGAGCCCAGGCCAGAGCCCAGGAGCAGTGCAGCCAGTAGGGGAGCACTGACCTCCCCTGGTCTGGCAAACTCCCTGGTTTGGGAAACCTCAGGTCCCGAGGGTGCCACACCAGGGAAGTCCAGCCTGTATATACTTTCATATCTGTTTGAGGTCACTACATTGATCTAAAACCTATTGCAGATGGTTAATACGTTCAAATTTCACACACTGGACTCTTCCAGGTAAATTGACTCCCACCAATTTCAGTTTTGCATGTAAATGGAAGAACTTCAAGTTATTTGTTTGAAGCTTTTGAGAGAGCCATTGCTGGGAGCAAAACATAACATTTGTGGATGTGAGCATTACCATAAATGACTTGGAAGAAATCTCCCCTTCTCTGCTTGCAGTTATGAAGAGCAGCTTGTGTACTCACTAAACGTTGTCTACATTGTTGTTGTTCTAAAAGGTTCTGCCACTAGCTCCTCTGTGCTCAAAGGAACAATGGTAGGGGTACTGGCAATAAGCACCCTTGATTGTCTGGAGGTTTAAGAACAGTCATCTAGACTTGTTCTGAGCAAGATTATATGGTACAATAGGTTCAAAGTTAATGCCTTGTGGATACAAGCGTACCCACTTTTCCTACCATTGGATTAACAATGGTGAAAAATTTTAGAAAAACCCTAGGAACAGATCCTCCTCCATTGATATAAATTGTCATATCTCCATTGACTTAAGCTGATGATTTTCTCTCTAATATAGACAAATAAGGGCCAATTCTTGTAGTCCTCGTTCACACAGAACTCCCTTGGAAGTCAAGCAGTTGGAGCTTGCATACAGGCATCCCCTGACTTGTGACGCAACCAGTTCCTGGGATAGCATCGCAAGTTGGGGACATCATAACTCGAACCCGCATTTATGATCGGTGCTGTGCACCATCATAATTGCGGGCTGAGGACAGGGGTTTATGGACCCTTCCACACTTACAAAAATGGTCATAAGTGCAGGGGGTGGCAACTCGGGCCGTCGTAAGGCGGGGGTTTCCTGTAGTCATCTGGAATATTTGCAATATTCTCTTGCTTCCTTTTAGCATATTCTTTGTAGATTCAGAGTGCATCTACGTAGTAGGGCTACGTCAATTGCATAGTTTATTTCAAGATAGCTTATTTTGGAATTGGGGAGTGTCTACACAGCACTTATTTCGAAATACAGCACTCTTCCTCTGACTGCCCTTAGTCCTCATACAGAGTGTTGGCTTGACAGTAATTTGACATTTTGAAATAACTGCCTGCTGTGTAGATGCGGACTAAGCTATTTTTAAATAACTCTATTATTTTGAAATAATGTTGCTGTGTAGATGTACCCCCAGTGACTTTGCTCTGTAAAACTGACTGTATGTTTCCTTAGTCTTGGATGGCATTTATGTATTTGGATTTTGAAACAAAAAGGTTTGCTATAAAATTGTAATCCAATGATATTTTTGGTGTAACTTTCAAAGTGAAATCACCAATTAAAATCATGATTAATTTAATTATGATTGTGTTAGTATTCTCTTGTGACATTCTCTCATGTAGCATAATACAAAGAACCTTCTTAACAGTTGTAGATTTTGGTTTTCATAAGATGGTTACATTACATAGCAAGAAGATACTGAAAATAAACTCTCCTACGGCTTTTTAATGAATCAGTGACATGATATTTGGGAGTCTGGCTTTCTCAATTTAAAAGTTTTATGAGCTTTTAGATGTTTTCAAAATTTTTGTATAGACTTTTGAGAACATAAGGTTGATTTGATTAGACTCCAATCTGCATCCCTTTCATGCATTAACAAGACACTGCTAGCTGGTTCTGTTTAGAATAAGCTTTTCAGTCTTCTATAATTTCACACTAATAATGTGGCTGCCCCGCATTAGCTATTCAATTGCACAATAAATCATTTTGTTTCATGTGTATCTGCTGTTTTTAGTAAATCAGCTGATGTTATGAGCATAGAGTTTACATAAGTATGAAGACCTCGAAACTATTATTATTTTGCACACAATTTGCAGTATCAAAATAATAAGCCTAAACTAAGGCTTTTTCTCAGAGATGATGTTGGTACTTGAGTTTAATAATTTAACAGATTATGAATTGTGATTTAGTTATTTCTGTTTCATCTTAAACATTTTCATTTGGAAAGGTTGAGTGTTCCTTTCAGTAAATGGACATTAGATCAATATTTACCAAAGTCACCTTCTCAGTCCTCAAGAAATTGAGTGTTTTACATTTGTCTCATTTCATATAGTAATTTTAGTAGTTTTGGTAAAAATAGCTCCCTTCCCTTGATAAGATTGGTGAAAGAGAGAGACTGATATTCAAGGTTATTATTAAAGGTTCCCTTTGCGATTCGCTATGTTATAACTTCTCATATTTAAAATATTAAAGCAGTGTAATTTAACCTAAATTACCACTAATAATAAATACATCAATTCTTGTTGTTAAAACAGTGCCTGATAGCACAGTTATAAAGTTTTATCATTTCACAAATAAATAATTTTTCAGGCATTTATAATTTCTTTTTAACTTGCAATACAAATTCTCAGCCTAGGAATGCAAAAATCTTGAGAACTAATCATACTTGGTCAGATCCATCTAGCCCCGTGCCCTGAGTTCTCACAGTGGATAATGCCTGCTTCAGAAGGAATGAAGAGAACTAACCAATTTCAATTGATTTATCTCCTGTTATCCAGACGCATCTTCTCCTGTTATCCAGACGATTATGGGTACTTGGAACATGGAGTGGCATCTAGGGATGTAATAGTGTAGTCGAGTAACCGATAAGAATTCATGAGGTTACTCAACTATTCAGTTAAGTGATATTTAACATCCCTAATTGCATCCCTGACTATCTTGGCTAATAGCTATTGATGGGCCTCTCCTCCATGAACTTACCTCTTTTTAAAAACAAAAAAATAAAACCTATGATGGGTTGGAGGAATTGGGTGTTGATGTGGGGTAAAGGGAACCAGTGGGGAGGCAGTGCTGGAGTTTGGGTTGTGTTTGGATTCCTTGCCTGCTCTTTGTGTGATTCTAATTTAAGGACTTGAGGGAACATATTCAGTAATCAGAATTACCATGCCGATAAGAAATATTGGACATGGGGGTGAACTGGGCCTTGAAGTGTGAATCAGCACAGATCATGAGTAGAGGGAAAAGTATTTCTAGTTGCAATTAGGGTATTTTTCTTTATTTTGGTTGTTTGGTTTAAACTTCTCTGTGTGAATCCATGCCTTTCCTCCCCCATTCACTATCTAAGTTATTCCCAGAGATTTTCTCTGTTTTAATTTGTTTTTC